AAGCATACATCTACTGATTAGGATTTGTCAGCTTTGGAGGAGGATGTAAAAAAAATTATAGCCAGGTGACTTTAAAATAAAGCCAGTTAAAAAAAAAAATTGTATAGCTTTCTCCCCTTGTCCATGGTTTTGTTTTCCGCTGTTCCAGTTACCTGTTGTCATGTGCAGTCTGAAAACATTCCAGTACTTAAGAGACCACATGAATTGTATAGCTTTCTCCCCTTGTCCATGGTTTTGTTTTCCACTGTTCCAGTTACCTGTTGTCATGTGCAGTCTGAAAACATTCCAGTACTTAAGAGACCACATTCGTATAACTTATTACAGTATAGTTATTCTATTAATTATTCATCTATCATTGTGCCCAATTTATAAGTTAAACTTTATCATAGATATATATGTATAGGAAAAAACACAGTATATGTGGGGTTTGGTACTACCTGAGGTTTCAGGCATCTACTGGGAGTCTTGGAATATGTCCCCTAAAGATGAGGGGGGACTACTACATAGCCTAAAGTAGACGTGGGAAGAAGACCCTTTGTTTTTGTTATAGCACTCTAATTGTTTCTAGCAACGCCTTGAATCTGCTCTTGCAGTCTCTTTTTTTCCAAAAACTGGTTGTCATTACTGGGAACTGTCACCTGGGAAGACAAAAAATCGTAGGCTCATGGAATCACAGGCCTTAACCTGTCCAATGGCGTCATCATGATAGAAAAGATAGCTTATTGCTGTCTGAAAAGACCATTTATGTAACTGTTGTTGGCCACTCCTCCTGCATCCCAAGTGTGAATAACCATAATAGTTTCCCGGCTATTATCTCCATCATTTGAGAACCCCTGATCTAGTCTGTGTTCTCATCTCAATGGAGGTGAGGGTTAGATGTCTGGAGAGTTAGCTCCTTAATCCCAGGTCCTGACTGATTTGAGCGAATGTTTGTGTGCTCACTGGGCACCAGGCATGGCAAGCGCTGACACTGAGCAGCAGAAGCAAAGCAACAGCCATCCTGTGCAGTCTGCTCCTCACTTGCCGTCTGCTGCAACAGCTTTTTTTCTAACCTTTTCTATAAAAACCTAAATGGATAGAAATGCTGAGTTGGTAGTACATAGCATACCGGTCTATACAATGCCAACATTCAACAGTTTTTCCCATTTTTGCCATATTGACTGCACCTACTTTTTGGTGAACATTTGATAATAAGTTGCAAACATCGTGATGCCTCATCCTTAAGCACTACAGTATGCATCTCCTAAAGATAAGGATGTTTTCCTATATAATCACAACTATTATCATTCCTAAGAAAATTAACAGCACCGTTAATATTTAGTTCATGTTAACTTTCCCCAGTGATCCACAAAATTTTATAGCTTATTTTTGAAATCAGAACCCAACCAAGGTCTATATTGTACGAGTTGTCTCCCTGGTTTTAATCTAGATCAGTCCCCCCACATTTCAAATGGATTTTTTCTGGGTCGGTCCGGTGGCGCATTGCTATAGTGCGCCGCTTGGGAAGTGCGGCGGCGCTCCAGCCGAGGGTTCGGATCCCACATACAGACCGGTTCCCGCTCACTGGCTGAGCGAGGCGCGGGAGCAACACCGAGGGTTGCGATCCCGTTGCCGGTCCTAGTCCGGTACGGGGGCAACACTGAGGGTTGCGATCCGTTGCTGGACATGGCAAAAGACAAAAAAAAAAAAAAATGGATTTTTTCTGGGTCGGTCCGGTGGCGCATTGCTATAGTGCGCCGCTTGGGAAGTGCGGCGGCGCTCCAGCCGCGGGGTCGGATCACACATACAGACCGGTTCCCGCTCACTGGCTGAGCGAGGCGCGGGAGCAACACCGAGGGTTGCGATCCCGTTGCCGGTCCTAGTCCGGTACGGGGGCAACACTGAGGGTTGCGATCCGTTGCTGGACACGGAAAAAGACAAAAAAAAAAAAAAAATGGATTTTTTCTGATTGTGGTGTCATTTAACTTGGACTTTTATCCTCTTTATTTACTGAAAACTGAAATGTAGGTCTAAGGGCCTGAAGAGATTTAGGTTAAATATTTTTGGCAAGAATATTTCATAGGCCACCCTCTATTTCAGTATCTCTTTTGTACAGTGATCTGTCAGAAGGCAGCATGTGTATAACCCCAAAGCTAATACCTCAACAGTGGGACAATTTCTAGTTTCTTCTCGCTAATGTCACCTGGCTCTTAAACTCCTTAGCATATCTATAATACATAAAAAATATAGAGAGAACTCCAAATTGTATTATAGTATTACATTCAGTTTCTTACATTCTAGATCATTCAAGGAAGTTCTGGAGTTGGGCAGAGTTTTGCGGGTGAAGCTCAGTTGCTAGCAGTGTGATCTTACACATGTCCCTCAATATGCTTCCTATCTAAAAGTGGGGATTTTTTTTTTTTTTTTTTGTCTTTTTCCGTGCCCAGCAACGGATCCCAACCCTCAGTGTTGCCCCCGTACCGGACCGGGGACCGGCAACGGGATTGCAACCCTCGGTGTTGCTCCCGTGCCTCGCTCAGCCAGTGAGCGGGAACCGGTCCGTATGTGGGATCCGAACCCTCGGGCGGGAGCGCCGCCGCGCATCCCAAGCGGCGCACTATCCAGTGCGCCACCGGGCCGGCCCCTAAAAGTGGGGATTTTTTTTTTTTTTTTTTGTCTTTTTCCGTGCCCAGCAACGGATCCCAACCCTCAGTGTTGCCCCCGTACCGGACCGGGGACCGGCAACGGGATTGCAACCCTCGGTGTTGCTCCCGTGCCTCGCTCAGCCAGTGAGCGGGAACCGGTCCGTATGTGGGATCCGAACCCTCGGGCGGGAGCGCCGCCGCGCTTCCCAAGCGGCGCACTATCCAGTGCGCCACCGGGCCGGCCCCTAAAAGTGGGGATTTTTTATAGTACCTACTTCACATATCAGGATCTGGCCAAGGGGAGACAATAAATGTCAGTGTAATCGCTAATCAGTTTTAGCAGCTGTCATGATAATACCAGAAGCACATCAACCTGAGCCTCCCTCTGTTTAGGAGAACCACTCTCTGTGGCACCCTGGACTACCTGCCCCCCGAGATGATTGAAGGCCACATGCATGATGAAAAGGTGGATCTGTGGAGCCTTGGAGTTCTGTGCTATGAATTTTTAGTTGGGAAGCCTCCTTTTGAGGCAAACACATACCAAGAGACCTACAAAAGAATATCACGGGTAAGACATAACTGAAAAGGATCTAGTGCTTTTGTGTAAATTCTCGTTATCAGCCTGAACTTTAGGCTAAGGTTTGAATATTTATACTATTTGGTCTGCCGAACCTGTGCTCTGACATATTTTGTCATTTCTTGTACTCCAGGTTGAATTTACATTCCCTGACTTTGTAACCGAGGGAGCAAGGGACCTCGTTTCAAGACTGTTGAAGCATAATTCGAGCCAGAGGCTAACTCTAAGAGAAGTACTTGAACACCCCTGGATCACAGCAAATTCATCAAAAGCATCAAATTGCCAAAAAAGCAAAGAATCCAGTAGCATAGAATCTTAGGAATCATGCAGGGGGAGAAATCTTGAGCCAGGGCTGCTGTATAATCTGTCAGGAACATTCTACTGAAATCTATTTCACTGTTGACTGTCTGCCTTCAATCTAGAGGAAATGCTGTTTTACTCAGCAGGCAGTGCCTCGGCCTCCCTCTTCAGAAAGCTCCACTTCAACAGACATGACACTGAGCTCAAAACAGCTATGAGAATTGTGCTGCTTTCACTGGCTCATAAACTGGAGGCAAGGGTGACTGTAGCCACCCCCACAGCACGTGCCTGGTAAGGTGTCCTTGCAGAAGACAAATTTGGAGTCTGGTTGTGGAGAAAGTGACCACTTTGCCCTGACTTGATCAGTTAAAGAGCTGTGCAATAACCTTCCAAGTACCTGAGTGTGTGTGTAACTTATTGGGTGGCCAAGTCTGGTAAAGCTGTTGGAATGAATATGTGATTATTTTAAATGTTAAAATAAAGGCTTTTGTATAGACCCATAATTTTTCTCTTCTGTGGCATCCTCTTAGGAATGCTCTGTGATGTCCAGCACCCCTATTAATCAGCCTGTGGGTTTCTAGTCCTCCTTATCTCCTAATGAGACTTTATAAAGTAGGAACATGTGCTCTATCTCCATCTCGGGACTTGCTTGGGACCCAGAAGAGCCCATGTGTCTCATAGCAGTGTCTAAATGTTAAGGGCTTATCTTTATTATATTGGAGTTATGGCATGTGTATACTTTAAATTTGCAAATAAATAAATACATCTACCTGAGGTACATGTGTAATTCTTTCCATCACCTGTCTGTTGGCTTGGAGATGAGGTGCCATGAGTGCAGCAAGTCTGGCCCTCTTCTGGCCTGTTGTATCGAGTGTGCTCTTAATGTGTAAAGTTACATATCTGTTTATAGCTGCCAACATTATCTGTTTACTGACCCAAGATACAGTGAACTTGACAATGATAAAGGAAAGGTGGAAGTGTTGAACTTAGAACTAGTAGAGAAGTATGCTTCCATGGCCAACTCTCAGTGCAAGAGACGAGATAGCAGATATGTCGAAAAAATATAAGAAAGTGGCCAACATAAAGAAGCTTCTCTAAGGGACAGAGCAGAGAAATTTTAAAACATGGCTGAGTAAAACCTCAGTGGTCAGTCAGCACCCCAGGACAAAGGAGCTTTTGGTTCCCACAGTCTTAGCTGAGCCAACTTTTACATTCCCAAAGTAACATTTCATGTACCATCCACCCAAGCTATAGTTAATGTGATGTGACTAACATCACCAGTGATACAGCTAAACTTGGGATGTTCCCCAGACAGAATCCCACATAAGCAAAGAGAACGCTCATTGTAGCAGGTTAATACACTAGTCACAGTGCTGCTTCGTAACTGGCAGCAAAGATGGCTTATCAGATGAGGAATAAAAAGTTCATAAACTTTACAAAATGTTTGCTTCATAGAATTTAAGCTGTTCCCTTTGTCAGATTAAAAAAAAAACAATAGCTACATTTTAAAATAGGTCATCTTTATTCCTAGTTCCATAAAAATGTAAATATAAGCAATCTGTACATCTTGCTGGTGAATTCACATAATGTCTTAATTCCCTGATCCTTTGACCTCCTCATCCTCTCTCGTTTTTGTTTTGGCCACCGGCCACACAAGTGGGGCTGGGGCTAGGAGGATGGCAAAATGGCCATTTGGTATTTTATTGCTTGCCCTTTCAGTCCATTCCCATTACTCCTAACACACGTAAATTTGAGATTTAGGCCAGTAGGAAAGTTTTTTTTTTTTTTTTTTCTTTTGCATAGGCATTGCTAGGGATCTGAATGGGAGACTGGTATAGAAGGCAGTTAGGAGCCCAAAGCCAACAGATCACTTTAAACATGAGAAATGGAAATGCTCTGTCTGGTTACGCACGAGGAATTACCTAGTACTGGTATCAGGCATCTCACCTGGCTGTGGAGATGTCCTTCGAATGAGATCTCAGAAAGGCAGTTCTAATTTTGGCAATGGGCTAACTGCTTAAGAAAAATATGGTTCCACTTTAAAGATCTTGCCAGTGGAGACCTTGTTCCACAAAGATTCTTTTAATTGTTAACTGAGATAACCGATGGACATGGGTAATGGCTAAGTAGATAACTCAAAAGCCAGATTTCAGTAAAGCCAGTAGTGTCAGTCAAATAGTTCTTAGTTTTCTGATTGTTACAAATGTAATTTTAAAAGGAAGTGGGAACCAGAGAGATAAATGCAACTCCCTCAACCCTGCAGAAGGGCAGAGAGGTTAGTATGGAACAAGTGCTGTGTATGAGAGCACGAACCAGAGGAAAGTCCTAAATGATGCTGAATCCCACAGGATGGAATTCCTTCTCCACTTGCCTGCTCCTGACTATTTCAAGGAGGAAGTCTCAGTTTGGGTCTATGCACATGAATTTCTATTAACTAATCTCCCTAATACATATACCCTTCATTGGGTAAAACTGACTCTGTAGACTTTAATTATACCTGCCCATCTCCCCTCCCCTTACATTTGTAATAAGTGCTACTAATTTTTTTTCTAGGAAATGATACAAAATCTTTAACATACATAATTTTAACTCAATTTAAAAAATATAAGTAGTGACAATGTAAACATTGTGACAGTTCTGGAATGTCTGAAGTTTGGAATAGAGTTAAAGACTGTTTAAGAAATGCTAAGATTGTCTTAGCTTTTCATACGTGCAGTATCCAAATTCCTCTGTGAATATGGGCATCAGGAGCCAAGTGATGCCATGACCACTGGGCAAGGTTTCCATATTTTACCTAAACAGAGACAAATGACTCTGACCCATTTTAATGAAATTTCAGAAAAACCACATTCTATAGGCCCCAGCATGTCCAGATTTGAAGGTGTTTTGGGATCAATGAAACACACGATAAATACTTGTTTTTCTTTCCCCAAAACAAGTATAATGTCAAAAGTGTGGGTGCTAATTTAGATAATGATTATATATTGTTAAATTTTGCTTCATTAATTATAGCTCTGGCAGCTGTTTTGTGGAATATTGCATATTAAACCAAAGGCAGCTGACAAATATCAGAAGAAGGGGAATTTTAAAAACCAGCTAAGTTAATCATTGCTTTTTAAGAACTTGAGCAAAGATTAATCCCTTGGGGCTTTTGCAGTCAGACCTTCACCAATAATCTTGGAAAAGCAACATTTTGTAGGCTGTTCTGTTTTGAGATACTTCATTTGTGATGTCTTGCTGACGTTTCATATTATGTATACAAGCCCTATGATGAAAAGCATTAACAATGTATAAAGCAAAAAAATTATAATTATTCAAAAGCCTGACTTTTGCTGGAAATGGTAACATTCATGCTTGAGAACATAGCAATTAGCCCCTTTCCCTCCACCCCCAAAAAACCTACAACCCTAAAACCAATCTGAATTGTGTAGCTGAAAAAAATAGGTTTTCAGTGCCTACAATTGAAGAGTTCATCAAGGTTTTGCAGCTGGAGGTTTAAAAAATCCCACTTTCCGAAAATATCTGACAATGAAGGGCACAGAGACTAAGGTAATGCTGATTCTCACGGGCGCAAACAGCTTGTGAATTGCGTAGGCCACCACAAAGGTACTTGTACCTGCTGCCATTTTTGACTGTACCAGCGACTCTTTAAGTCCAAGTTTAAGCAGGACTGCAGACATGTCCACACCACTGGGGGAAAGAGGCAAAGAAAACTATTATTACAGCAAGGGATTAAATGAAGAAATCAATTTGGCTATAAGAATACAGCATTTTAAAAATGTGATGAATGCTAGATGAATAAAAAGTCTTAGAGAAAAGTTCTTACTCACATACAATCTTACATGATAGTAAGAAACAAATATTTATTACTGTTGAAAATCTTACCTTGAAACAACCATGTAAAATATGCCCAAGGAGATTAATGAGATTCCAATGTGCAATGACACGCCAACAGCACCGTATTCCTGAAAAACCTTTTTCAGCTGCTGTGACTTGCTTGGCTTTTTCTCCTCTGTGTTGCCGACAGCGCTGCCTGTTGTCTCAGTGATTTTGCTGGTATCCTGTGTACAAACCAAAGAAGGAGAGACACTAGGGCAGGAGCAGGTGTCAGTGGTCACCACAGGCTTTTATACTCACGCAATGTTAACACTCTTTCCCACCCCATGAGAGATCCTTACCCTCCTTACTCAGTGAGCTGTAGCCAACGCCCACTAAGCACAATGGAAGGCTAGGCACTAGGTGTGGTTAGCAGATGTTGGCCCCAAAGATGTCAGGGTCCTAATCCCCAGAACCTGTATGTTACCTTACATGGCAAATAGACTTTGCAGGTGTGATTAAGGATCTTGAGATGGGGAGATTATCCTGGATTATCTGAGTGGGGCCAATGTAACCACAAGGGTCCTTATAAGTATAAAGAGGGAGGTAGGAGAGTCAATGTCAGAGGGGGAGATGTGATGGCAGAAGCTGGGACAGAGATTTCAGGATGCTGTGCTACTGGCTATGGAGGCAAGGGCCACGAGCCAAGGAATGCTGGTGGCGACTAGAAACTGGAAGAGGCAGGGAATGGATTCTCCCCTACAGCCTCCAGAGGGAACCAGCCCTGGAGACTTCTTTGACTTTTTAGCCCAGTAAGATCCATCGTGGACTTTTTGGGAAGGGGGACTGGAGGGGGCGGCCAGTACGGGGAACCGAACCTTTGACCTTGGTGTTACAAGGCTGCACGCTAACCAACCCAGCTAACTGGCCAGCCCTCATTGCAGACTTTTGACCTCCAGAACTGTAAGATAATAAATGTGTTGTTTTAAGCCACCAGGTTGTGGTCCTCTGTTACAGCAGTAATAGTAACTAAAACACTGGGGCTCACATACTCGGGGACAACAATGATACTTTATTGAGCACTTTCTCTTAGCCAGGCAGTCCTTTGATGCTTTCTCTCCACCGCATGTATCTCCTTTCATCCCCACAGCAACCTTCTGAGGTAGATACTATTGGTTTTCCTACTTTACAAAGAAGCAACATAGGCTTAGAGAAATCAAATAATTGGCCCAAAGTCACCAAGATTAGAGCCCAGGCCATCTGAGTCCACTGCCCGAGCACATAACAACCATATGCTACAATAAAAGGGCAGTGGGTGTGAAATAAAAAGAGCAAAAGGTATGGAATATTTATTTCTAGAATCAATATTTACACCTGAGATCTGCAACAGACAAAGAGAGGGCTGATTCTCAGACAATACACTGACCAGGATATGCACGAAAACAATTCATTGCACGTGGTGCCTGTTAACATTTTTGAGCACCTACCAGGCTTGGAATGTTTGGAATAACATTCCAGAGAACATTCCAGAGAAAGGGGAACTCTCCTACACTGTTGGTGGGACTGTAAATTGGTGCAGCCATTATGGAAAATAGTATGGAGGTTTCAACAAACAACTACAGATGGAACTGCCATATGACCCAGAAATCCCACTACTGGGTATATACCCAAAGGAATGGAAATCATTATGTCGAAGGGATACCTGCACTCCCATGTTTATCGCAGTTCTGTTTACAATAGCCAGAAGTTGCAATCAACCTAGATGTCCATCGTCAGACAACTGGATAAGGAAAATGTAGTATACATACACAATGGAATACTATTCTTCCATAAAAAGAATAAAATACTGCCATTCACAGCAACATGGGTGAACTTAGAGAAAATCATGTTAAGTGAAATAAGCGAGGCATAGAAAGAAATACTGCATGTCCTCCACTCATAAGTGGGAGCTAAAAAATAAACAAACAAAAAAATAGATACAATTACAATAATATGTGAACTTTCAAAACGAGAGAACAGAATTGAGGTTACCAGAGGTGGGGAAGCGGGAGGAGTTGGTAAGGGAGGAATTGGTAAAAGGCCATAAAATGATCACATTGTATAATGTTGAATATACCAATTATCCGGATTTGAGCATCACATATTGCACACAGGTATTGGTATTCAACTCTGTACCCCACAGATATGTACAATCAACTGTGTTACAATAAAATATATTTTTAAAAATTTAAAAAAAGAAACAAAGATAACAAACACCAACTCAGATTAGAAAAAAAGAAAAAAAATCTCAATAAAAGAGCACTTTTATCAAATGATTTCTTTAATGAAGTCCTCAGAGCTTGTCTCGGCAGGTGGTGAGCATCTGGCTCTAAGTTAGCTCTGGTTATTGATTCTGCAGGTGGACCTATTCTTCCCTGTATTTTTAAAGTGTGCTGTGGCTGAGCCACACTTCAATGGCAAGAGGAAGGAGCACAACAGCCCAGAGTCCCCAGGAGATAGGATCAGGATTCCCCGGAATAAAAAACAAAATAATACGGGGACACAGCACAGTGCTGCACAGAGTAGCAGCCTCCAAACCCAACAGCCACACCTGCACAGCCAGGCTCGCCCTGGGATACGGGGACCTCCCAGGCCTGCCCCTGCCTGAGCTGTAGTGGGAGTCACTGCATAGAGCAGGGAGGCTGTGACCGAGCTCATCTGGGGTGAGGCCCAAGCCACTGCATTTCTCACAAGCTTCCAAGTGGCATGAGCTCCAAAATGCTGCTGGTCTGTGGACGACACTGAATGTCAAGTGTCTAGAGAGCTTTTCCATTTGTACCTATGTCCAGGTGCCCAGCCTCTGATTTTATAGATCGGGGGTGAGACCTGGCATTGGGATTTGTCATCAGTTCCCCAGGTGATTCTAAGGTGATCAGCTACGGTTGCCAGGTAAGCCCCTGCTCACCTGGCTGCCTCACCTGGCACTCTCTCCAGGCTGGCCTTCCCACATGCTCACACAGGATGTGCCTGCTGTACAACCCACAGGGCTGGGTTGGGGGAGTGAGGTGCTCCCCCCAGTGCTCTGCTTCCCCCAGCTGCCTCCAGTTTATATATTTCAGATGCAAATGCAAATGTCACCTCCTCCAAGAGGCCCTCCCTGACTACGCTAGTTGCACCTGCCTGCCCTCCACTGTAGCCTTCAGGTCTTTATCAAATATCATCTCTGTGAGGCCTTCCTGGGGCACCCTCTTTAAAACTAACCAGAGGCTAGCAGGTTAGCTCAGTTGGTTACAGCATGGTGCTGATAACACGAAGGTACAGGGTTCTGTTCCTGTACCAGCAGCTGCCAAAAAAATAAATAACACTAGCAGAAAATTGTCTGCTGTGTGTTTTGTCCTTACAAACAGTAGATGCTTATCCTGCAGCTGGAAGTTTGGCTGCCTCTTTATTTTTCTTTTTTGGCCAAAAGGCCTTTTGCCAAAATAGAGGATATAAAGAAAGAAAAGCGCCCTCAGCAGACACAGCCATGGTTGGTCTGGTACATGGACAGAGTGGGGCATAATCCAGTGTGGCTGGGCCAAGTGTCAAGGGTGGGAAATAAAAGGGGCTTCTGCCTGTCACTGGCCTCCAAATGGTGCTTGGCCCTGGAAGTGTCTGTGGGCTGTCGTGCTATCAGTGCCCACGTCTGGCAGCTCTCCCACCCTCAGCAGCTGAAAGGGGGGTGGGGGCTTGTTTCTCAGAAAGAACCTGAACTCTCAGCCGCCATTCTGGCTGGGGAGTGGTAGGGCTAGCGAGAAGGCTTTGAGTCAAGGGGAGGTCCCACGTGCTGGCCAATGACAAGGAGGTTGTGTTGGTTTTCATATGTCTGAAATAACCTACAGAAGTTCTCCTTCACACGCCCTCTCCCTGTGTATTTTTCTCCATCAAGCATTTACCATCTAACAACATCCCTCATATTTACTTACTTGGTTATTGTCTGGTGACAGAAGCTGCATAGGGACAGGGACTTGGGTCTGTCTCCTTCTATGGATCACCTAGAACCAGCCCTGCTGAGTTTGTGTCTTCTTTCTTCCCAGGGAAGGACTAATCCATTTTGGCAACTACTAGAGCAGAATTTTTTTTTGTAAAAGTTTTATTGATGTCTAATTTACAAACTATAACATATGCAGTTGATTGGTTTACATATATTTACAGTGGTGTGACCATCACCCTAATCTAACTTTAGGACATTTTCATCACCCATTTAGCAGTGACTCCCTGTTCTCCTCCTCCCCCAGCCCCAGCGGAAGGCAAACACCAATCTACTTTGAGTCTCTATAGTTTTGCCTATCCTGGACATTTCATATAAATGGAGTTACACTATGTGGCCTTTTGTGTCTGACTTCCTTCACTCAGCATCATCTTTTCAAGTTCATCATGTTGCTTCATTCTTTTTTATGTAGCAGATTTTGATTCAATTGAAATACAGATGCTAAAATTTGCTTTGTGGGGTAAATCGGGAGCCACAGCACGTTTCCTCTCCTCTAAAGAATGTCTGCTCTGTCCTGTGAGCTTGGCTGTCCCTGGTCATACCTGGGGCAGCATCTCAGCCTGGTTTCAAGCAGGACTAGGAAGGCTGGCTCTGGACGTGCCAAATGAACATGACCCAGCAGTTTGCATCTGGAGAAGATAAACCGTGGATGGTGCATGCATATGGGAGATAAGGAGGCCTCAAAGGCAGACTATGCTATTGTCCCCAAGGGAAATAAATGAAGGTCCACATTCTGGGCACTGCAAAGAGAGGCTGGATTCAGCCTTGGATTAAACTTGCCCAGAACCGTCCTTGACTTTTAATCATACACAACAGCTACTCATTTTCCTCTCCTCAAAAAGTCTGTACAAAACTCAAATTTATTAGTTAAAAAAGTCTTCTGTTTATCTCCCAACTAAAACAAAGTCCTCTCTTTTGTTCCCAACTGTAGCTGGGACTAGGGAACAAAAACAAAAACAACAAAAACCATCCAGAAACTTTGGTGCTAGAATTAAATTAAAGGTTGCTTGCATCTCTGGGAATAAAATGTTAAGGCCACAGGATGGGGATGAACAGTGTTTTCTGCTGCCATTTAGCTTTGACTTCTGTATGTTATTTCAACTGTTTCAAAACAAACAGTTAAAAACAACTACTTAAAAAGGGCAGGGGCTACCTCCCATAAGTGATGTGGGCAGGCTGGGCTGCTTGGCTGGTCATTTACCTGACACCGACATCGAATCATGTTAAGTAAAAAAA